TTATTATTATTATTATTATTATTATTATTATTATTATTATTATTATTATTATTATTATTATTATTCGTTTTTGGATTAGTGGTCACCTCCGAGTAATGCACCGTGTTGGGGATCCACACGTGGTAGAAATTCACGTGCTCAAGCGCGGAAAGAACGGGCGTCGAGTAAAAAAACATCAAGTTTCTTGTTGTCGCGTGGGGCCCCGATTCTCCACTGAGGGATTCGTCTACTTCTCGGACATGAATGGAAATGTCGCGAGGTTCGACATGTCCGAACGGATTCTTGACGTGAGTTACAAGTGCTTTCGATGGGGGCGTGTCCGAAAGGGTTATATAAGAGAGCACTACTTGTTCAAGGTGGAGGGGCTCGGCGAGCTTTTCGGGCCGTTTGCCTTCGTAGACGAGCGGAAAGTGAGAAGTTATAGGCTCTTGGAGGAGTCGATGAGGTAGGATTTGGTGAAGGATTTCGGGGACAAAGTGTTGTACCTTAGTGCCTTTTTGTCATTTGGGGGCACAACTCGTACGGAAGCCACGACCAACACGATCTGGCTGCCCAAATTTTACGATAGTAATGTTGTGTTCTACTATTTGAGGGACGGGAAGTTTCATTTGGACGACGGAAGATACTCGTGCGAAGATGCACTTTGCCTTACGAGATGGAATTTTGCCACGTGGACGATGCCTGCACCGATCATCCTGACGAATGACCTTATTATGACGATGACGTGGATTTGAATTTTTACTCATTGTTTTTGTTTTGGTTTTCTAATAATCCATAGAAAATGTATTATTGTTTTAGTTTTGTTTTCTAAAATTACTCTTACCAAATATATTATTATTTACTATTTAAAATAATAACATCACCCATAAGACTCATTTGTAAAGGTGTATTTAATTATTTTTTTCTATACTCAATATTGATATTCGTCAAAATATTATTAATTTATTATATGAAAATCTCGGAAAAAATACAACATTATTAAATTTAACATAAATTTATACTTTAATTAATCTGAGGGTTCTATAATTTTAAACGGTCATGGGAAGGATGAATAATAAAAAAGTCCGAACCACAAAAATTGACAAGGACTAGAATTCCAACCACCGAAAATTATAAAACCACCAATTTAATTATACGGTGTGACTATATACAAAACATATGTTAACTACAACATATTATATGCAGATTAAATTATATGTAGGGGAACATATATTTTGTTTCCATCTTGCTTATTTTCCTATGATATTATTGTACTATAAAACAATAATTATATAATTTCCCATATCAAGAATCCTTGTGGAACTCAGATTTATACATATACGAGGACTATAAATCAACATACCACTCTTGAGAGTAACTTTTTTTTTTTTGGTACAGAGACCTTCCGGTTTCCGGTTTCTTGAGAGTAACTTTTGATCACGTGCTATGGAGAGAAAAACTCAAGTTCCTCTGCTCATGACCTCGCACACCAGAGCCCACGACAAACATTCTTTCTGCAGCCTCTCCGGCAACTGGTCCTGCACTGCCTCCATCGCCAATTTCTCCGGCAAGCGCGTGCTCGGCTCCAACCACGGCTGGCTGGCCATGGCCGACCCCCTCACCGACGAGTGCCTCCTCTGGAACCCGCAGATTGCCAAGAAAATCCTTCTCCCCCCACTCCGCAAGTCGTCTCGCTACAACAGATGCGTCCTCTCGAAACCCCCTACCGAGCCGGGCTGCCTCGCCGCCTTTATCTGCTCGTGCGGCTTCAAACTGTCCGTGTGCGTGGTCGGGGCCCACGAGTTTGCCAAGCAGTGCCTAAGGAAACTTCCAAGCATTATCTTTATGGTGGCCATCGGCGCTGTCCACGGACAAATTTACGGCGTCGTCTTCTCCATGCGCGACGGCTACCGGCTCGTGACAGTTGGTCTGGTCGACGGGACAACCATCATGATCGCGCCGTTAACGTCGGCCGACGGGTCGGGCCTCTGGATACCGCCCCTACCGGACCCGAGATGGACTGGCCTGCATCCCAGCTACCTGATCGAGTCGCCAGCTGGCGCGGGCAAGCTATTATTCCTGGTTGTGAAGGTGTTCTTATCTGAAAATTATGAGGAGGAGAATGCCATGGTGTTCCAGGTTTTCCGAGTAGATGTGGAGCGGAGGGAGTGCGTGGAACTCGACCGAATAGATGGGATGACGATTTTCATCGCCTCGTGCGGTAATGGGTTCTGCCATTGGTCCACCTTTGCTGGAGGAAGCAAACCGAATTGCATATACTATGCCAACAAAGAGGGTCGGCTCGTTTATGTGTATGATTTGGGGGACAGGAGCACAACTCCGCTCTTGCTGTGCCCCGATGCAAAGCAACTTGGATCGACTAACTATTGGATCGACCTCCCGGAGGTCAGTCTCGAGTATTAATTCAATAGAATGTCTTTTTTTTTCCCCTTAAAAGTTAATGGGAAATGGCAGGAAGATGAAATCTATAAGTTGTTAAAGGACATTGATAGATTATCGATACTCCAGTAACTTAATATTAATATACCATAGCATAGTACTACTTACAATACAAGCTCAACTTAATTATTAGCATGTATGTTTGTTTGTTTGTTTGTTTGTTCAACATATCCGTACTATATTTTTCATGTGTGCCTAAATGAAAGATTCAACTTATTTCTACTTATAATGTATACAACCACAACTCACAACTCATATAGCACGATTGTCATCTAGACTCTAAACCAGTAGACATTATGAACAATTCAATCAAGACATGTGAGGCTAGTTAACCTATAAATTTAAAGTTTTTTACCCACATAATCGTGTTGGAGTTAAATTAGCTGAAGCATCAGGACATGAGATGGAAAACAAATTTCTAAAAGTGGTAATGACACATGAGACTTCATTCAATCCGAAAAACATCCCGAATAATGCTCAAGATAACAAGGCCCGAATGACAACAACCTGACAAAATAACAACCATTTCCACTCGATCGGGCTATATTCTGGATCGTATGATTTGTTCAAATAACTCAATATACCAATATCACTTTGAAGCAACAGGTGTACAAAACTGTATCTCTACTTGAGACCAAAACCAAACGGGCAGTTGAAACTTTACCCGATCTTGCATATATATCTATAAGAGAATTCCAAAGCAACAGGTGACCATGGAATTCTGCAGCGTAGCAGTGGAACTCTTTCCAGTGTCTCAGATTCGACACACGTGCACAATGAGGTAGAATCCCAGCAAGAGTTACAAAATTCAGTCCAATGATCTTTAAAGAGTCACAAATTTACACTGAAACAAATTCAGAAACTTACAAAGATACAAATCTTAATCAGAAAATGTTAGTGATATGGACAAAAGACAAAACGAGCACATAATCCTCGGAAAATGCCAAAAAGTACGAAAAACTGCTTAAGGCATTGAATTTAACCGGTTTTGAAAGGAGTGGATTTCGAACTGCATCTTTTGCAGAGTGGCATTTTTCTCGTGTACGAGCTTCTGAAGGCTCTCCTTCAGGCACGTGTTGTGGACCCCATTGATTGTCTCCTGCGGGATGTGATGCCATACTCACGGTCTCTACCAACAAAGGACAATGTGCAAAATGTGGTTTTGTACTCGACATTTTGTAGTGCAGGGAAAAAGATTGATCTTAAATCTAATGCATGTACAAGGAAAATGTTCTTTTAGGGAGACTTAAGTACTCGTTCAGGCAGAAAAGGTCAAAGTGTGAACTTCTTCAAGATGGATTTTTTAGAGGAATTGTTATTCATGCAGACATTGACTGGAGTTTTCTTGTAATATTTGTTGGTAATAAGGCTAACGGATGTCGAGCACCTTGATTTGAGTTCCACTCTTTTTACATTTTACTTGTATGGGGGCATGTAGATTAGTGACGATGTTCGAGCCATTACAATTATAATCTTTTCTGCACTTGTTATTCAAGAAGTAATAGGAATATGAAATTTTAATAAAATACATAAAATTTTAAGAGTAGGTGTGCAATGGGTGAGAACTTCTGAGTAGTGAGTGTGTGTGTGTGCGTGCGCGTGCACGAGCGAGGGTGAGAGAGAGAGATTCATGCATAATTACCTACACGAGGAGCTGACCCCAGATGACTAAATTTTAGGATGAATTCAAGTCCAACATTGAATCAAATTTGAGGGGGAGATTTGAAATTCATTGAATTTTGAGTATTTTTAGCTTAACATATTTCTGAATTCATTAAGCAATGCATTTCAGATTCTTTCTTCCAAACTCCTAAAAAACACTTGGGAGTACTTCACAACCCTAATATTGAATTAGATGGAGCTCAAACCATATAATTAAACACACTTAAACATGCAAATTATTTATCACTCAACGTCTCATAAGAGACGTAACTTGTGCCCGGCAATCTCCACATCCGCAGTCTTCAACTTTTTCTTGTATTTTTTTTTTTTCATGGAAGTCGGCACCATCAAACTTTTCACCTCTGGAGGCACGTAAGGGCAGCCTTTGAACTGCATTGTAAGATCATCACCAGTCAAACGGGCCCTCATTTGTGCAATCCCACCACGACTGGACACAAATCCACAGTACTTGCGTTTCGTGGCCTGTCTCGACTTGTCCAGAGGTACCGCATGGTCCCACGTATCAACTAGCGGCGGCCTTCCCCTTCTATAAGATTTAGCTGAAGACAATTTCTCAAAAAGGGAATACCCCAGGTTAGTGATTACGAATTTTTGTGCACTATCAGTGCATTGTTCAGCTCAAGAAGAGCAATTGATAGTTCCAGTCGTCCAAATATATTTGAAATGGTTCAATAGGAAGAAAAATTTCCAGGTTACTTGTCACACTGAATTTGGAAATACGAATTTTACATGAACTTGTGGTGATCGATTATAAAATAGAAGCAGGCATAATAAATGTTATTTAACAACTTCATCTTGGAATGATTTTTGTTTTTTTTGTTTTTTTTTTTTTTTCCTGTT